TGTGAGATCTGGAAATGATGAATTACTAGGTTAAGAGCATTGTCACTTCCCTAAGCTGAATACTAAAAAGCATCAGGGCTGCATATCAATGAATGAAGAATCATCCTTGCATTGAACATTGGATAAATAATCAGAGAGAACAAGATTCAACCCAGCTTCATTCAGCAGAAAATTTGATAATGAAGAAGCCTTGTGTTTTGACTAAGAAAGTCAACCTGCTGGAACTAAAGTAATTCAATTTAGAGCATAGCATCAAATAAACTCTCTTTCCCAGAGAACGTTTAGCTTCATCAAGTAATTTAGAAATAATTGAAAATTCTTACTCAAGAAGTTTTGGTCAATGGAAGGCATCTAAACAGAATTCCATCGGATCCCATCTCTTGGTCGCATCTCATCTCAAAAACTCAACAGTGTAATTCTGCATTCACAAAATTATTTTTATCTCATTTTATTTTTGAAGATATTGACAAGGGCATTTGGTCTAGTGGTATGATTCTCGCTTCGGGTGCGAGAGGGTCCCGAGTTCGATTCTCGGAATGCCCCCATTTATGAAATCCATGTTTCTTTTTCTTTGGCTCCTATTAACAGAGAGCTCACATTCAAGGCACAGAAAATGAAGGGTAATAATGGAGAAGCATGCTTTTTAGCACTGAAAGTCAGAAGCTGCTGAATTAAATTAATTTTATGAACAGAACAGCAAATAAGTATCTCTTCCCCATAATAGTATATGAAGAGTGATAATGGAGCAGCTTGTCTTTTAGTGCAGAAAGTCAGAAGCTGCTGAATTTAAATTGCAGAGCAGCATATAAGTATCTCTTCCCCAGCAAACGTATTAGCTTCAGGAAGGAGTTGTTGTACCTGAGATTATTGGGCGCAATAGAAGAGCAGAAGAATTGCCTACTCAGGTAGGCAGTTTTGCTGAATGCAACGCATCTAAATAAATCCCCATATTTCATGAAAGAATACAGTCAGATTAAAAAGAGAGAGAAAGGGGAATTTTGCACAAGATCTTTAGTAACACATGAAGATATTAAGAAGGGCATTTGGTCTAGTGGTATGATTCTCGCTGTGGGTGCGAGAAGTCCAGAGTTCAATTCTCATAATGCCCCTTTGTAATTTTAAATTTTTTATTTAAATTTGCTGTAGCAAAACCAGAATCTTTACAAGGAAAAGGTCAACACCAGCCTTAATACAAGTCTTAACAGAACAGACAAGTTGCAGCATCAAATCTCTTACTTTATTAAACAAAAACGTATTCACATGCTATAAGATCTGGAAAATGGCTGAGACAAGCTAGCTTGAAAAAGCCTTATCAATTCATTTACCTAAATAAATAAATAAATAAAAAGCATCAGGGGCAGCATCTGAAAACCAATAAGGACTGCAGAATCATCCCCATATAGACATAACTGATTTAAGTATAGCCTTGAAGACAAAAATAATAAGATCTGGATTGTATAATCAGATCCATACTGTCCTTGGCAAAAAAAAAAAAAAAAAAGATCCACAATGTCCAAAAGACAAGTGCATGCCTTGCACATGTTTAGATATGGACGGAGGATCTGCACTCATGGAAGTTGGATCCTTTGTGCATCTGTATTTTGTCTAAGAAAGTCAGAACTGCCTGAGCTAAGCTAGTTTGAAGTAAGCATCTCAAACATTTTAGCATCAGCAAATAATTAAAGAGACGAACAACTTTAGCCAATGTGAGGCATTAAACAAATTCCCAAGTTTAATGTAACACCGGAAAAACTCTCAAGTCAGTTACAGCTAGGGCATTTGGTGTAGAAAAACTCTTAAGTCAGTTACAGCAAGGGCATTTGGTCTAGAAAAAAAACTCTTAAGTCGGTTACAGCAAGGGCATTTGTCTAGAAAAACTCTTAAGTCGGTTACAGCAAGGGCATTTGGTCTAGTGGTATGATTCTCGCGTAGGGTGTGAGAGGTCCCGAGTCCAATTCGAATGCCCCTTTCAAGGAATTTTGTTTTCGTTTTTCTTTTAGTTAATGACTCCATTCAAATGCAGGGTTTGGAAAATGAATACTAAAAGAGAAGCATGTGCTTTCATTAAGAAAGTCAAAATATGCTGATAAACCACTAATCAAAAGCAAACAAATTAGCTTCAGAATGAAGTGGTTTGTTTGTTGCACCAATGAAGCTTGATAACAATTGAAGCATAAAATTGTCCATTCTGGAATGCAGTTCTAGTCAATGTAAGAAACCTAAACGATTCCTAGTTATCATGGAATATGATAAGACCTTTTAGTAATCCTTCAAAATATTGACCAGGGCATTTGGTCTAGTGGTATGATTCTCGCTTTGGGTGCGAGAGGTCTCGAGTTCGATTCTCGGAATGCCCCCTTTTGTAATTCTCAAGTTTTATTTTTATTGCTTGCAACCAAGCAAGAATGTTTACAATGAAAAGTTAACAACAACCTTAACACAAATATCATAAACAGACAAGTTGCGGTCTCAGATCTCTCCTAATTTATTACAACTGGCCAAGTATTCACATGCTGCAAGATCTTGAAAAACAATGAGTAAGGCTTGCTTGAAACTAGAAAGGACCTTGTCAAATCTTTCAGCTAAATTAAAAAAAGCATCAGGGCAGCATCTACATACCAATACGGATTGCAGAACCATCCCCCCTATTGACCTCTGGACAACTAACTAAAAACCTATTGCATACAAATTCCTTAAATATCTCAATGCCACGCCAAAAGATGCATTGGTAGATAAAATATCGCACCATAAATGTTATTGTTTTGTCTAAAAAAAGACATCCTGTGAAGCCAAATTAGTTTAAACATCTGAACAATCTAGTAGAAAATAGGCAAGCATCACAAACATTTAAGCTCCAGCAGATAATTGAGGAGATAAGCAACTTTAGTCAGTGTGAGGTATCAAAAAATCCTAAGTTTCAAGGAATACTAGAGAAACTAAGTCATCCTTGGAGATATGAACAAGGAATTTGGTCTAGTAATAAAAATCTTGTAAACAGACAAGTTACAGTGTCCAATTCTCATTCCTCCTTCATAAAATCAAGCTTTTTATGATTTTTACACGCAGGAACTAAATAGTAAAGAGTGATGACAGAGAAGCTTTTCTTTGGCAAAGGAAGTCAGGCTCAGAACCTCCCGAGATAAATTGGTTTTAAATACAGAGCAGCAAATAAGCATCTCTTTCACAGAAACCAAATAAGCTTCAGGAAGGACTTGTTACACAAAAGACTCATGAGCTCAAGTGAAGAACAAAAAATGCCTTTTCAGGTAAGCAATTATGGTCAACAAAAGGTATTGAGAAAAATCCCCAAGTATGAGGGAAATATGAAGATCTTTTAGTAATTCTTGAAGATATCAACAAGGGCATTTGGTCTAATGGTATGATTCTCGCTTTGGGTGCGAGAGGTCCCGAGTTTGATTCTCGGAATGCCCCACTGGTAATTTTCAATTTTTATTTTTAATCCCCTCGTAGCAAAGGCAGAATCTTTACAAGGCAAAGGTCAACACCAACTTTAGTACAAACTTAACAGACAATTGCAGTGTCAAATCTTACTTTATTACAACTAGTAAAGTATTCACATGCCATAAGATCCAGAAAATGGCAAGACAGGCTAGCTTGAAAGAACCTTATCAGTTCATTTAGCTGAATTAATCAAACATCAGAGGCAGCATCTGTTAACCAATTTGGACTGCAAAATTATCCCCATATTGAGCATTGGAGAAGTGACAAATCTATTAGATATAACTGATTTAAGCATTTCAGTGCCCACCCTTGAAGATTAATATGATAAAATCTGCATTGAATAATCAGATCCAGACTGCCCAGAAGAATTGTGCACACCTTGCACAGCTTTAAATATGGACAGCGGATCAGCACTCATGGAACTTGGATCCTTTGCACATCTTTATTTTGTCTAAGAAACTGAGAGCCTGCTGAGTTAAGTTACAAGAACGTAGCAGCAAATCAGTAGGCGTCTTAAGTTTTTTAGCGTCAGCAGATAATTAAGAGACAAGGAACTTAAGTCAATGTGAGGCAACAAACAAATTCTTTGTTTCTGTTAATACAACACTAGAGAAACTGAGTCAGCCTTGGAGATATCAACTAGGGCATTAGTCCAGTGGTATGATTGTCGCTTAGGGTGTGAGAGGTCCTGAGTTCAATTCTCAGAATGGCCCCTTTCAAGAAATGTGTTTTTGTCTTTTTTTTTTTAAACTTAAATTAATAAAATATTAACAAGCAAAATATGGAAAGAAGAGTAATGGATATGCCTGTTCTTGGTAAGGAACACCTCTTGATGTGAATTGCTTTCCAGAACAGAGCAGCAAATAAATAGGCACCACTTATCCAGAAAATTGTATTAACTTCGGGAAAGAGTCATTACCCAGAGAAGATTGAGGTACAATTGAAGAGGAGCAGAGAAATTGTCCACGCAGGTAATCAGATTAGGTAAATAAAAGGTATCTGATGGATTCCCAAGTTTCATGGGCCAATACAGAAATGCTTCTTGTAATACTTTAAGATATCAACTAGGGCATTTGGTCTACTGGTATGATTCTCCCTTAGGGTCCAAGAGGTTGCAATGCCCCTGTCAAGGAAATCTATGCTTTTTTAAAAGACTAAACAAAGAATTCACATGTAGATTTGGAAAATGAAGAATGATAAAAGAGAAGCACATGTTTTCATTAAGAAAGTCACAATCTGCTAATAAGCCACTCATCCCAAGCAATCAAATTAGCTTTAGGATGGAGTTGTTCCCTTGTTGCCACCAATGAAGCTGGGTAACAATTGAAATAAAATGTACGTTCTGGTATGCAGTTTTAGTCAATGTAGGAAATCTAAAATTATTCCAAGTCACTGAGGAATAATGAGAAGATCTTTTCGTAACATTTCAAAATATCAACTAGGGCAGTCTAGTGGTATGATTCTTGTTTTGGGTGCAAGAGGTGTTGAGTTTGATTCTCGGAATGCCCCTTTTGTGCATTTCAATTTTTATTTATAATCCCTTGTGCCAAAACCAAAATATTACAAGGAAAAGGTCAGCACCCACCTTGATTGAAATGTTGTCAATAACAACATGAAATCTCTTAATTTATTACAACTATTAAAGTATTCACGCGGTGACAAATTGAGAAAAGGAAGATAGCATTAAAGAGAGAGAGAATCAAAGGCAGCATCTGAATTCCAATGCAGATTGCAGTACCATCACCCTATTGAACTTTGTACAAGTGATAATCAGTTAGATATAACTGACTCAAGTATTTCAGTGCCATGCCTAAAAAGACACCAGAGCATAAGTCTCAGGTAGATATTTCTGTTTTGCCTAACAAAAACAGAACCAGCTGGGATCAATTAGTTGAAAGAATCTAGCAGCAAAGAGGCATCTGTCCCACATAAAACATTCAAGCATCAGCAAATCAGCTTCATAAAGAAACAAGTAAGTACATCTATTCCTTAGAAAACATATTAGCTTTGGGAAGTTGTTGCAATAATGAGATATTCTTGGGCACAATTGAATGGGAAAATTGGCTATCAAGGAAAGCAAATTAGTCAATGCAATGCATCTTAGCCCATTTCCAAGTTTCTTTGAACAACGCAGAAGAGATTTCAATAATCCTTGTAAATATCAACTAGGGCATTTGGTCTAGTGGTATGATTCTCTGCTTTGGGTGCAAGAGGTCCTGAGTTCGAATCTCAGAATGCCCCTTTCATAATTCTCAATTCTTGTTTTAATCACTCACTGCAATGCAAGAATCTTCACAAGGAAAAAGTCAACACCAACCGTAATACAAATCTCATAAATAGACGTCTCAAAGCTTTACAAAGTATTTAATGGGTACCTAAGTAGGGAGGAACCCTACCTCAAAAGTTAGCTATTGAAATGGGAGAACCAACCCACTTATATACCCCATTGAGCATTCCATACTACTCAATGTGGGACTTGGTATCCCATACTACCAAGTTTCTATCAATTAGCCCCTTATGGAAAGCTGACATTCCAACAGTTGCACTCCACAGCACTTACTTGATCTCCTTCCGATCAGAACCCTCTGTAAGTAGCCCTTTTCAGAACCACTAATAATGAGACTCTGATACCAATTGATGGGTAACTAAGTAGGACAGAAAATCCTACCCCAAAAGCTAATTGTTGAAGTGAGAGAGCCAACCCACTTATATACCCCATTGAGCATCCCATACTACTCATTGTGAGACTTGGTATTCCATACTACCAAGTCTCTATCAGTATTTGTACAAGTTAGAGGTAGGCAACAACTTCTCTACTCATAACAGTGTGATTTGTTCATTCAAGAACTTTGTTTTTTAAGCATTAGAAGGGTACCATTCAATTGGAAATCTTAAACTCTAAGTTTGGACTGATAGCAATCAGCCTCTACCCTTGTTCCAGCTGATTCATACACTTTTTTATTTCTCCTTGTGCTCTCAGTTTAGTGAGCAATCGACTTGTACACTTATTGTAATCAACTGGTCACCTAGAAATTTGGTTTTACAGAAGAGCACAGTTGACTTCTATAAAGACACCATTTAACTATTACCTAGAATTAAATGAGAATCACCTATGGAATGGTAATAGTTGACTCGCATCCCTACAACAGTTGACTTCTACCTATATAATAGTCAATTAAAACCTTAACAGAAACTCGAAAACATTATATACAATAGTTCAATGGCTAATTCTAAAGTAAACCAAGTTGGAATTATTTCTATCGGCTACATCAAGAAATCCATCAAAATGAGCCTTATTTAAGTCTTGGAAGTTTAGAAAAACATTGTCTAAGTGCTCTAAACGTGATTTGCATGCACTTCTCATTTATTGCTCGTCTCTCTATATATCAAGTGCTTCATTTGTATATTTACTGCTTGTGAGAGTTTCTGCTGATCCTCCATCTTCGTGGAATGTTAGGAATTGGAGGATTCCTAGTGAACTTAAAAACTAATCTTCCAAAACATACACAAACCAAACTGTTATTTACTCAAATCCATTCCACATATAGCATTAGCAATTTACATACATTATTCTTTTTTAATGAAATTCACATGTAATTTACATGCATTATTAGCAATTTACATACATTATTATGATTATTATATAGTTTAAACAAGGTATAGGTATGAACATCAGCCAAGCCAAACAATGCTCAGTTTAATAAAAGCCCTGTCAAAAAAAATGAAAGAGAATTGCCACACCAATAGCACTTACTTCAGACAATAGATTCATGCTCAGAACTCAAGCCTCAGTTCTTAGATTTTGAATACTTCACGAGCCAATCAACAACTGTGTCAATGTTGGTGGAATTTTTGCAAGAGACCATGAAGCAACAAACTTCTCTGTTGGCAAGAGATTTTAGGCCCCTATACATTTTCAGCAACATTAATATTTTAAAAAAACTACAAAAAGCAGACAAAACTCTTGGGAAAACTATTTTTCCCCAGAATGTAATACAACAGCAATGACAACAAAAACCTTATTCCATTAAGTGAGGTCAGCTACATGGATCGCATGATGCCATTATGCTTTGTCCTAGACCAACTCCACCTAGCACAATTGCATTGTGTGGTCCATGTAGTAGACCACATTTAGTCCGATAAGTCTTTATTTGTTGTTGTTGTATTTATTACTTTCAGAGTGTAATGCACTCCTTAAATGCTTTCCTCAATGTACCAAGAAACTTAAATATAGAGAATATTTTAAGAGCTGAACCTTTAAAGAAGAAATGATTTTTCTCATGATCTCTACTTCGGTGCAATGCAATGATTCAGAGAGCTTTTTGACATGTACTGAACGGTTTGCAATTCATCATAAAATATCTAAACCTGAGAGTACAAGACTTACATTTGTTCGGTCAAATCTTGCTGAGACAAAGCTTCTGGTTTGTCAATCTTGTTACCCACTACCAGCACTGGAATACCATTTAGAGAAGGCTTGCTCAACAAGTCATGAAGTTCACCTTTAGAGACAGGTAAATTTTCATGATCAGCTGCATCAACAACATAACTGCAACATAAAATGTTGATGAGCGATTAATATAATTTTCCACACAAGAAATTAAAATGAAATTGCACTATAACAAGAATAAGAAAAACAAAGTATAATGTTTATGACTAGTTGTTTTCCGGATTGATATAATAACAAGAAATTGATATCTTAACTGAAATGCTATTTTACATTTCATGTGAAAAATAAAGTAGGTCTTGAATAAGCAAATGATACATGAAACAAAACCAATGTCTATTTTTTGCAGAAAATCAAGTGTAACAGATTGGCTGAAAGATTTCAAGAAATCCAACTTTTACCCGTGTCTTATTTATAGTCCGTATCATTCAGCAAGATATGTTTGAAGTCTGAATGCATATGAAAAGCAACAGAAGTCTTTAAGAGTGAAAGGAGCAAACGAAGAATGTCATATTGAAATGAGATCAAAAGTAAATGAACTGTAAATAACCAACTAGCATCAGCTTGCCCTACATCTCAACTGTAAACATAAAGGTGGACGAATCAACATCATGTACTAAGAATGTAATAAATCTCTCGGTCAAAGAACAAGGTTTTCAATTGGGTGCTTCATAGGATGGATCCTTTAGCATGTTGAAATGAATATGCCCAGAAATATTTCTGAGATAGAAAATATACATTTATGATTTATTGATAAAGAAACAATCTCAAAACCAATTGCCTAAACAAATAATATTGAAGCATTAATTTGATCTTGAGTCAAATCTGAAATTGTTCATTCTCTCTAGACCAAAATAGTATAATATACAATAGAAAACATTGAACCTAATGAGTTTAGAGAAAATCTTATGCAATGTATTTGAAGCTGTTCATTAAATAAGAAAAGACAAAATTGTTAGCAATTGATGCCATAGTTATGTGTTCCAATGTGATTTATAGGACATACACAATAACTGATACAGCACGGCAGTATCTCTCCCACATGCTGCGAAACCTTGGTTGCCCTCCAAGATCCCATAACTTTATCGTCACATTGCCTTTAGTTACCTTTCTCATATTAAATCCTACCTATAAATAAACAAAAATTACCAAGTACATCACAGGGAAGCAAATTAGCCATGTGCAAGAAGCAAGTGATTCGGCCAGTAGTGAAGTTATATACATATAAGCATTGGATTATAGTCAAAGAAAGGTGACATACCGTGGGGATCATATCCTCACTATATCCACCAGTCTGTATCAGGATAAAACACAAATTCAGCATCAGCATCTTAGTAACAAGGTACTATAGTATAGAAAATTACTGGTCCAGTAAGCATGATTACATTCGCATACCGCAATAGCATTAACAAGCGATGTTTTTCCAGCATTCTGAAGGCCAATCAAAGATAGCTCCATTTCTTGCTTGAAAAAGAGACTACCATATGGAAAAAGAAAGTAAATATGAATATTTCTAAGATCCACTTTTAAAGGCCACTTTTACTCTCTAGCATGTACTGTAGTAGATAATTTACAGCAAACATTTCAATTTAGATAAAACAACTAAGAAATACACATCAAGTATGTCCCAGCAATCATTTTGCAAGTAATTGTGTGTACTGGGAAAAAATGGCAACTGGAGTAAAAACAACTAACACTTGCACAATATATTGAAGGATAAATTGCAGCTCAGTTTTCCAATTCACTAAATTATTGAAGGGAACAACAAACAACATGCAATCTCCAAATCAGCTTTGCATCTGTTCAAACTAACCCTCACAAACATAAGAAGGTCAAAGACTTGACCCTTTCTTAGTCCGCTGCTAGTCTAGTGTACCTCCATTCCATAATCCGAAACTACTGCTGTTGTGGAGATATTGATGTTGTGGTGGGTTTTGCGATGGCAATGAGCGTGTTTATGGTCCATAATGGTTTTTTTTTTTAATGGGATTTCCTGCATTTTCTGTGATAAACAACAATCATAATTTGTAATAGCAATAACTAGCATTCTTTTCAGTTTACAAAAAATAGTATGGATATCGTGAGACCCCGATTCCAAATGTTACATCACTAAGATCATGAGGACACCATACAACAGAATAAATTTAAAAAAAATGGGGCTCCCTCACGCAGAATTGTACATAATATTTGGTAGATGGAGAAATGTCAAAGACAAGTGGAGAACATGATAGAAATTATAAGGGATATGAAAGAAGCATCGAAGGATTGGGAGAAATATGTTAGGAGACCCATTAGAATACGAAATAAGAAGAACCATCATAAACAGATGGTGGGGGTGGAATACTTGAATTTCGTTGGGAGAGTCTCCATGCCTCTCCAATGCGTCGATGGAATGCTTGACTGTTCTATCTTTCTTCTATTTTGCATTTCCAGGATTGTAGCCATCCTACTTGGACTTACACTCTGGGAGAAATTTATCCTAGATTAATCTTAATTTTGAAGTTAGAATCCATAACAGATATTATCAAATTCTTTTCAAATAATAGCCAAGAAGACGATTTAGAACAAAGTAGCAGCAATAACCACATTATATTCCCCTAGTTTTGGGTTGCAAGTATCAAAAGTTCCTTATTCTCGTACCCCATGGATTTCATCAGTATCTTAGCATCCAAATCCAAAAGGGAGAAAAAGCACTAAGCAGAGGATCATTCGAGAAAAGCCTAAAAACAAAAAACAAAGAAAGAAAGAAAGAAGGATGCTATCACAGGGTCAAGCAGTGAAAATTCTGGGCTCATAAGAAAGAACAAAGGATGAACTCAGAATCCAAACTTAGCATGGTTTTGCCGCACTTTATCGTAGCAAAAGGAGCAACTTTTACCTCCGTAACCAGTTGAGGAAAGCTTCCCACAAACCCATCTCAAGTTCAAAAAAATATGAACTTTGAAAGAAGTAGAACACCAGACCAGAACGCCTTCAGGAGGATTTGGTGAACCTTCAAAGTTCAAACCCAGCACAGTTGAGAAGAAGAATCAAGAAGCAGTTCACTGTTTCTACTATTTCGTTATCGGAATCGAAAATGACCTATTTTATTAAAAAAAAAAACGAAAAACGACTAAATAAGAAATACGATTCACATAATGAAGACAAATGGAAGAATGTCTCGTTCGGAAAACGCGAGTCTGGAGCGCGAGTACAGTCGTTTGGCCAATGGGATTTATTTTTTAGCGAAATGTACCAGATGTTATTGTCGGCGATGAGCCTCACGCGCCGAGATGGGATGACTGGTCAATTTGCTCAAAGATAATACTATTTCAATATAAGAAAAATGTGTAAATTTAATCATAAATTATTTTTTAAATATTATTAGGTAATTTTTATTATAAGATAATGTAAAATAAATTATGAACATAAAAAATAGAGCACTTGACATCTTCCGTTAACTTTTAACAAATGACCATTAATTAAAATTGTAAGGCCTACATTCATTTAATTTCGGCCTACATTCATTTAATTTCTCTCTCCCCCCCTTAGTTTCAAAATGCATGTCTCTCTCACTTTTGTAACTCCTCTCTCTCTCTCTCATGTGTTCATGAACGACCCGATTTATCGTTCCTTCTTATCACAATCACACACATACAACCATGGATAATAGGGTTAGGATCTCTTATGCATGCAAGGCATTCTCAATGCAACTCCTATATGGTCACAATGTAATATCCTAAGCTTTCAACTGGGAATTATTAGTATTTATAAGGGTATTTTAGTCAAATTAAATGAATTATGAATTAATGACATTTATGAGGTATTAATATAGTTTTTGGATCTTTGGATAGCCTTATTCTAAGGTTAAATCGAAGTTCAAGTGGGCCATGGCATGAAGGAAGGTTTAAATTTTCATGGAACTCTTTGTGCCATGCGCCGTGGTGAACGTGCCAATTCAGGGTTTATCCTGACTGGTCACTAACAATTGTCACTTGATTGTGTAGATTGAGTGTTACTTGAGCTTTATCGTGCATATAGAACGTGTGGAGCTAATATTAAATCATAGTAACCCTTTTGTGATAAAGGGTTAAGGTAGTGGAATAATTTACACTAATTGATTATATTGGTTAACTGTTTGTGAGTAGATAAGTACATTTGTTTACATATGTTTCGAAAGTTTGGCATGTTGCGAAAGATCATTTTCCTTGTGCATTAAAAACTACTTTTGAAATGATAAAGATTTATGAGTCCAATTGTGAAAAAGATAGTGATTTTTTACAAGTGTGTGAAATGTATAGCAAGAATAAGTATGATCCTGTTAAGGGTGGGAGTTCACTCATAGGAAAGAGTAGTGAAAGTTCATATGACATGTATCTCCTTAATGTCTAGTGAGGCACGGTATTAGATACGACGTTAGAGAATGACGCTCCTTAGTATCAATGATGTGGTGTTAGAGTAACGATACCCTGATTCGTGTGCGACAAGGGGAGATCATAATTCGGAAGTGGGATAAAACACCTTTGGCCAGATGATCCTACTACTAAAGGTAAGCTCGAACCATTGTGAATGTACACTTGGTCTAAGAGCTTATGGTTTCAGTCAGGGTGATATGAAGGCTTGAATGGTAGAATGATTATGTTAGTGATAAATGACTTGTGTTTATAGAAATGAATTGTTAAAAATGCTAAAGTGACAATATACATTTACTATAGAAAATGTTATGTTGGAATATGTTAAAAGTGTGTTTTAATACTTAATAGCTTTATTCCTATATGGTTATGTATGTTAATTAATAGTAGTGAATTATTCTATTACTAATATGTTTATCTCACCCTATAGTTATATTTTACAAGCGAGGGCTCCGTAGGGGTAAGGGAAAGGAAATGGTGACTGAAGAGTGAAGAGTATTGTTGTATAGCTCTTCTCTTTTTTCTTTTTAGGTTTGTAACGAATATACTATAATCTAATGCTAACTTAGGAACACGACATTGTTTTGTTATTACCTGTATAAAAATATGTGAATATCTTAGCCTAAGATTGATGTTATTATGATTAAATGAGTGTGCTTGGCCAAGATACAATTACAAATGGTATATTTGAAATGATTTGTGCATTAAAATGACCAATCGATATGTGTGTTAAGTTTTATTCACCCCTTTATGTTGTTGTGAATTGAGGATTTAATGGTCATTTTGAGTATGAATGCTTATTTGTGTCATATAATTGGCTTGTTATATTGTGTGTAGACCATTTGAGGTTGTTAAAGTGATTTTGAAGCTAATGACATTTGGTAGTGTGTTGTGGACACCTTTGAAAGTGTTTTGAGGTAAAAACAAACCATTTTAAGTTCAGGTGTTCATCTTTTTAATGAATAATTATTTAAGTGTAAGACCAGTGTCATTAGCTAGAGGGCTCGAAGAGTTTTATGTAGACATTTAAACCACTCAAATTGAACGTTGGATGGCAAAATGGCACGCTCCTCTGACTTGGGTAGCTCCTCCAGGCACTCCAACACTCTCATCCTTGCTCACCTGACCTCTTTATTATCTTCCACCTCCCTTTCCAACAAGAAGAAGCCCTTCCTTGCAACTGTCGCCCTCCTATTAACTATTAGCTCCATTGTCTCTGTTGGGATTGTCCTTAGCAACTGTGCATGTGGTTCCAGCCAAAGTGGGGTGGCTATCTGGGCCAAGCTTATAGAGGCAATTTCTTGAACCTATAGTAGAACCCACTACCTCAACATGTATGTGAACTTGAGACTTGAGTTCCCAAGTTCCATAATAGCAACAAAGTAAGGCCTATCCACATTTCCTTTAACATGGCCTTAAGCACCTGAGCAGAGCTCTCTACTCCTTCATCGAGATCTCTCACGTCTTGAATTCACTCAAACAATTAGTGCATGAGGATTACCTCGAGCTCCTTGAGGATTTCGAGCTTGCACCTACAAATGAGAGAGAGAATGAGAAGGGGAGAGAAAAATTAAATGAACATGAGCCCTACAATTTTAATTAAATAGTCATTTGTTAAAAGTTAATGGACGGTGTTAATGCTACATTTTTTATAGTTGGTGATTTATTTTGCACCCTTTTATAGTATAGGTTACCCAATGGTCATTAAAAAATAGTTTAGCACTAAATTTTCATTTTTATCATTTAATATATCATGAAGTCATGAACCAAAGAAAATTGACAAAAAAAAACCCATCAGGATTTGATTCGCGGATAAGGACTTGAATAAATTTGTGAAAGTTGGTCCTTCTTTAACATTAAATTAGACCTACATAATGACCATTTTTTCCTTATTACATTTAAAAGAAAAAGGGCATGCAAAGCTCTTCTCCTCAACTGCACAATCATCGACTCAACATTCCATTATGTCCAGTGAACATTCATTTGATTGCGTCTGACAACCAAGTTCATGACTTTCTTAGGTCAGTTTGTTGAGTATTCAATATGATGATGAGGTATTGTTTGATTTTTAGTGTTTGTTTAGTAATAGTGGAGTTTGGTTGTCTAAATTTTAAATTCTTGCTAAAAGAGGTTGAACTAAGTATTTGCTTTGCTATTTGCTCCTCCCATAAGTGTATTGCCTCACATTGCAAAGTTAGTAATATGTAATATAAAATCATGTCTAATAATAGCCAACTAAACTTCTAATAAATATTGTTTACTCACCTTCTTCCATTCTTCAATTAAACTAAATACACCTCAATTCCACACACTCAAACCTTGCTTTACTTTACCAAAGCACCTTATGCTTCCATATCAATGTTCCACTAATCCTTTTAAAAAATCTTTAAATTGATTATGGATCAACCATATATCTTCAAACCAAAATGGCCTTCTCTTAATAAGAATAGGATGATGATCAGAGCTAAATTAACCCATTACTTTGACCATAGCATCAAGAAACATATTCTGCCACTACCTATTGCATAAGCTTCGATCCAATCTTTCATAGAATATGTCATGCCCACTCCATTTAGGCCCTTTCCAAGTGAACCAAGGCCTTTTAGATTCAATATCAATTAACCCATAATCATTAATCTAATTCATAAACATGTTACAGCTTCGAACACTAACTCTCGCCCTTCCCTTTTGCTCACAAGGTGATACAATGACATTAAAGTCGCCTGCAAGAATCTAATGATCAAACACATTCATACTAATCTCAAATAAGGCATTTCACAATCCCCTTCTAGCCTTCTTATGAAGGTTGGCATACACTAATGTAAGAAACCATGTAATACTCTCATTATTCATGAAACAATAATGAATAAACTGATCATGCTTTCACAAAATCTTAATCCCCAAATCCTCCTAATTCCCTAACATCCATAGACTACCAACAAAACCCCTAGCCTCTACTAATCCCAATATTTAAAATCTAAACTTGTAATAACCTGCTTAGCCTTTACTCTATTAATTATGGGCTCAAGCAAACCACCACCTCAGCCTTTGTATCACGATAAATATTTCTCATGAAGGTAGCAAAACCTTTTCTATTAGCTCCACGACAATTCCAAATGAGAATCTTCATAAACAACTACAAACTGACTTACTCTCCTCCCCCTCGCAATCCTGCATGAATTCTTTACTAGTAATATCATCATCATACATAGCATCAGATTCACCATCCTCTTCCTCATCAATAAGCATCTTAGAGTTAACATTTTGAGATCTCCTCCTATTCACATCATTCATTCCATTAATCCCAATACTTTGTTTTACAAAATTTTGGCCCTTATTCAGTAAAATAGATGAGCTACTACCAAATACAGAAAACTTCCTCCCCTGTATCAAAGATTTAACATGACTAGAGCCCTTACTACCTTTTAAAACCACCCCTTTATGACCATTAAGTAAAGAATTGGGAAATATTCTACCTCCCCTACCCACATCCTTATATCTCCTATTGGATATGGTTGGTACCCAAGAGGCGAATGAATTAGGTGATAATAAATTTTTCTAAATTTAAAGAAGGGTAGAAGTAAATAACAAGATATTCAAGGAAGGAAAGCTTTTTACACTAATGATTTATCCTGGTTCAACTAAATAACTTGGCCTACATCCAGTCCTCAAGATTACCCTTAAGATTTTCAACTATAATCACAAGCT